CTTGCCACCAGAGGTTGTGGATGCTCCATCACTTGGAGGTTTTTAAGAAGAGATTGGACAGCCACTTCTCTGAAATGATAGACAATCTCCTGCTCGAGCATGGGGCTGGACTAGAAGACCTCCAAGGTCCCTTCCCGCTCTATGCTGATTGATTGACTTGAAAGATTTGGCAATCAATTCCTAACCAGCCTCAACTCAACTCTTGTTAGCTGTTGATGCTACTCAGCCGTTCAAGTGCTGCCATCTGGCGAGGCAACGAGACAAACGGCATTACGTGCTGTTATGTTGTGCCCGGCTTCCTGGTTAGGAGCTCCCGGGGGCTGTTTTGCTGCTGTGAAAAAGAAACAATATTAAACTAAGGTCTCATTGGAGCGGCTTCTCTTCCGACGTGTCTCTTCCTCCCTTTCTCTTCTTCTCTGGTTCTTTGTCCTCACCTCTTTCTTCTCATCAAGGCAGATCCTGCCATCCTTCTCCTTCCAAATTATAATCTGTCTGTGTGGGATTAGAAGTATTCTAGCCTAGTCTGCATTCCAATATTCTGTTCTATTCTATTCTATTCTATTCCATTCCATTCTACTCTATTTAATATTTTCTATTCTTTCTATTCTATGTTCTATTCTATTCTATTCTATTCCATTCCATTCTACTCTATTTAATATTTTCTATTCTTTCTATTCTATGTTCTATTCTATTCTATTCTATGTTCTATTCTATTCTATTCTTATTCTATTCCATTCTATTCTACTCTATTTAATCTTTTCTATTCTTTCTATTCTATGTCCTGTTCTGTTCTATTCTATTCTTATTCTATTCTATTCTATTCTACTCTATTTAATATTTTCTATTCTTTCTATTCTATGTCCTGTTCTATTCTATTCTATTCTATTCTATTCTTATTCTATTCCATTCCATTCCATTCTATTTAATATTTTCTATTCTTTCTATTCTATGTTCTGTTCTATTCTATTCTTATTCTATTCCATTCTATTCTACTCTATTTAATATTTTCTATTCTTTCTATTTTATGTTCTGTTCTATTCTATTCTTATTCTATTCTATTCCATTCTATTCTACTCTAATATTTTCTATTCTTTCTATTCTATGTCCTGTTCTATTCTATTCTATTCTTATTCTATTCCATTCCATTCCTATTCCATTCCATTCCATTCTATTTAATATTTTATATTCTTTCTATTCTACTGTTCTGTTCTATTCTATTCTTATTCTATTCTATTCCATTCTATTCTACTCTATTTAATCTTTTCTATTCTTTCTATTTTATGTTCTGTTCTATTCTATTCTATTCTTATTCCATTCCATTCCTATTCCATTCCATTCTATTTAATATTTTCTATTCTTTCTATTCTATGTTCTGTTCTGTTCTGTTCTGTTCTATTCTGTTCTATTCTATTCTTATTCTATTCCATTCTATTCTACTCTATTTAATCTTTTCTATTCTTTCTATTCTATTCTATGTTCTGTTCTATTCTATTCTATTCTTATTCTATTCTATATTTCTTTTTTTCTATTCTTTCTATTCTATTCTTTCTATTCCATCCCATTCCATATTTTCCATTCAATTCCATTCATTTTTTTTTTCAGACGGTTCAATTTTTTCCCCCTAGACTTCATTCACTTTTCCCTAGAAATCCAATCAAAGCATTTACCCCCTATTAGACTTGCACACTTTCCACTTAAGAACCCCAACTGANACAGCCAGGATTTAAGGGCTTTGCGGAAGGCCTGGAGGGTGGTGAGGGTTCGAATCTCCACAGGGAGTTCGTTCCAGAGGGTCGGAGCAGCCACTGAGAAGGCTCTCCTCCGCGTAGTTGCCAGTCGACATTGGCCGGCGGATGGAATTCGGAGGAGGCCTAGTCTGTGGGATCTTATTGGCCTAGTGGAGGTAATTGGCAGTAGGCGGTCTCTCAAGTCGGCGCACTGTTGTCGGCACGTTGATGACATCGCGGTTTTAGCGCCGCGGTTTTGTCCGCACGCTTTTGTCACGCACACATTTGTCAGGTCACGACAAGCAACAGGCCCATACTACCATATGTGGTGGCCATGTGCAGAAGCAACTAACTCCTGGACTATAATAAGAACGTGGTTAGAGGAAATATTACAACAGAAGAGAAGAGCCGAAACCAGAGACCTCCTTATTCTCTCCCTCCCAGCGAAATATAAGGAAGAAGGCAACTATTTGATTCTACCTGTAACCTACAGCAACGAGAATTGTATTTGCTCAAAATTGGAAATTAAATAAGGGTACCAACGGAAGAGGAGATGATAAAAAAAAAAAAATCTAGACTGTGCAGAGATGAACCGATTGACTTTGAAAATAAAGGATAAAGAGGAATCGGTGTTCTTCAAGACACGGGGAAGATTTTACGAATGGTTAGAGAAAGGCGTTCAGAGAAGAAATTAAAGGGAAGATATGGAACCCAGGTGATACGCCATTAAGTAGAAAAGTGGAGGTGGTGGAGGAGGGAAAATAGGGAATAAAATAATAATAAAAACGTATGTATATATTCAAAAGTATGATACAAGGGTGGGGGGAAACCATATCAGGGTAGATTTGAGAAGGAAAGGGAACAAGAAATGATATTTATTTTTGGATCTGAGGAAATGCCACCTTAAGAAAATGAAAAGTAAGAGCTGAAAGAGACACCTACAACAATAGAAGAAGAAAGGAAGCGAGGAGAAGAGGAGATGGGTTTCATCCCTGGAGGCTTTCAAGAAGAGCCTGGACTTCCATCTGTCAGAAATGGTGTAGGGTCCCCTGCTTGGGCAGGGGGTTGGACTACATGACCTCCAAGGTCCCTTCCAACTCTGTTATTCTATATTCAAAGGAAGAGACCACTTTCAGAGGTTGTAGGAGCTTCATCCCTGGAGGCTTTCAAGAAGAGACTGGACTTCCATCTGTCAGAAATGGTGTAGGGTCCCCTGCTTGGGCAGGGGGTTGGACTAGATGATCTCCAAGATCCCTTCCAACTCTGCTAATATGTTAATTTAATAATCCAGCTTTAATGACACACTGATTTTAAATAAATTTGCTGTTTGGGATCTATATGTATATGTATATCTATATCATCTATATCTCTATATCTATCATCTATCTATCTATCTATCTATCTATCTATCTATCTATCTATCTATCACCTATCTCTCTATCATCTATCATTTATCATTTATATCATTTATCTATCATGTATCATATATTGATCTAATCTGTTATCTATCTATCTATCTATCTATCTATCTATCTATCTATCTATCTCATGTATCATATATTGATCT